ATGTATAAGTTGGTATATCAAGTTGGGTCACTCTATATTGAGTATTTCCTCATGTTTTATTCTACTTATCTCACGACAGCCTCTCCGGCTCAATTACCTATGATAGTATGATACGAAAGATACGTTACGTTGGTACTCGGTTGAGTAAGGTACCGGGTGCTCGTCGCGGCCCATCCGTTTGGGTCGTGACATTCATTCAACTACTTCGATTAATTATGTTTTTATTTATAATTTTTAATTATTAATGTTGTCTTAAAATTGTCAAGTGGCTTTATTTTAGCTTGCCACTTCACTTAACCACATGCTTCACTACCCTCCTTTTAATATAATATAGATATATATTATTATTATTATTACTATACATAAATCTAAAACATGTAGCTTATTGCATATGTAGTTATTTCAAGCTTAAATTTCCGTTCTCCTTTATTTTCAATCGAAAGTGTTGAATTTTAATTTTATTTTTAAATTTTTATGATCTATTTTTATGTCGGTAATTAATTTTATAAATATCTTTTTCTTAAATTCTAGAATTTAAAGGCAAAATTTAAAAGATTTATTGCATTATCCATTGCTTAATATTGTCACACTATTTATGTGATTTTTTATTAGCTTGCTACTTCATATCTTTGTTCGCTATTTCCGTTATAATATATTATATATAGATGAATATGGGTTTTCTTTCTATAAAAATAAAATTTCCATTTATTTTTAATATTCATTCTATAGTGTTTAAACTTATAAATAATATTTTGAGTATTAATTATTTACTTGATTTATTATATTATTTAATGTAGCATTAATGAGAAAATTATATGGGTCGATAATTTTCTTTTGATAACTCCAACTAAATCATTGTTTCCTTATATAATAACCCAAAACGTACAAAATCTTATAACCAAATTAAAATGATATCTAGTCAAAGACAATCTAATAACTATGTAAATTAAATTTGATCAAATCTTGTCTTAATCTTTATTAGATTTGTCTAAAATATTTTTAGATTATGTCTTAAAAGTGTCAAGTGGCATTTTCTCAACGTGCGACTTGGCTTAACCTCATGCTTCACTATCCTCCTTTTAATATAATATAGATATCTCAAAATTATTTTTAATAATATTAAAGTAGCTGAACTTTAATAATTATAGCAAAAGTGTTATTACACTTTATCCACTAAAATAATAAATTATAAAACTATTTTTATCACATTAAAATAAATAAGTTTTACCTACTTTAAATTCAGCCAAATTTACTATCATAGTGGAAATTTTTTTGTGACTTTATTATTATAATAGGTAAAATTTAATTAATTTAATGTGAAAAGAATCATTTCTTAACTTGACTAGTATTATAGTGACTTAAATGTTGTATGGATAAAAAACTATTTTATGACATTATATTATTATAGTAAGTATAATTCAAAAGATCATACGTGAATTTAACCACTTATCTACTTGGAGCGACTTAAATGCCATTTTACTACCAATAACTAAGGAAAAAAAGTATGAAATTCACAGTAGTATATTTTTATTAATACCAGTCAAAATATATATATATATATATATATATCCTAATTTTCCTTGAACAGTTTGCTTTTCTTTGCGAGCAAGTTTGGTTTCTGTTCGTGGGCGGGAAACTGACTGAGTTGGTTCTCTGCCCCGATTTTCTTTTCCATAAATAATGACTAGTCTTTACTCTTTAAGCGCCACTTGTTCCTCTGTCTGAGGTACCTTTAAATCCTTTTTCATGCTTCTGTTTTTCAATGTTTTAATTGGCTAAAAGCACTCAGTAGAGTCTGCTGCCAATGTTTGTTTTGCTGCAGTATAAATAGTTTCAATTAAGAGAAAAGGAAAAAGGAAAACAATTGTAGCAAAAAACGCATGTGGTCAGGCAAATTCATGCTAGTGATAGCTACAAATTGATGGAACTTCTGAATTTTTTTCTTTTTGGTTATCCTTTCAGTACAATGGGAAATTTAAGAGCTAACAATCTTTGGGATGCAATTAGGATTTTTGCCAAGAGATTTTACTGTGCCTGCAGGTTTTGCTTCTTCTTTATTTTTTAAACTACTTCTTTTCTTCATTGCATTTGGTTTATAGAATATTTTTAACTAAATCTCGCTTATGAAATGCAGTGAACGTATTGTTGATGTTCCAGTAGATGTCCGCAGAATCAAAACGGGTTTTGACCCAGAAATATCTCGCCTCAACTTCCAACTGAAGGATTTAGTAAGAACAAATCAAATTGTAAAAGCACGTCAACTGTTTGATGAAATGCCTTGCAAAAACACTTGCTCCGTGAACATGATGGTTTCGGGTTATGTGAAGTCACGTAATCTTTCTCGTGCGAGGGAGTTATTTGATAGCATGCTCTCTCGTAATGAAGTTTCATGGACTACGATGATTGGTGGTTACTCTCAGAACAATCAGCCTAAAGAGGCTTTTAGTCTATACACGGGGATGTGTAGGTCGGGAATTAAGCCGGATCATATCACCTTTGCAACTCTCTTGTCAGGTTTGGATGATACAACAACTTTAAAAGAAGTACTTCAGATTCATTCCCATATCATTAGATCTGGATTTAGTTCAAGTCTTATTGTTTGCAACAGTTTGGTAGATTCGTACTGCAAAACTTGCTGCCTGGATATAGCGTCTCGACTCTTCAGTGAAATGTCAACAAAAGATTCTGTAAGCTTCAATGTTATGATAACAGGGTACACAAAATACGGTTTTCGTGAAGAAGCATTAGAGCTATTTATGCAAATGCGGAATATGGGTTTTCAGCCTTCAGATTTTACTTTCGCAGCAGTTCTAGGTCTGAGTGCTGGATCAGATGATGTTACTTTTGGCCAACAAATTCATGGATTTGCCATCAAGACCAGCTATGTCTGGGACATATTTGTTGCAAATGCATTGCTTGATTTCTACTCGAAGCATGACTATATAGATTTCGCGAAGAATCTCTTCGATGAGCTGCCCGAGTTAGATGGTGTTTCTTATAACATAATTATCACAGGTTATGCATGGAATGGGCAGTATGGGAAATCATTTGATCTCTTCAAAAGGCTACAGTGTACAACATTTGACAGAAAGAATTTTCCTTTTCCCACGATGTTGAGCATAGCTGCGACAGAATTAAATTTAGCAATGGGAAGGCAAATCCATGCACAGGCAGTTGTGACAACAGCTGATTCAGAAGTTCAAGTAGGAAATGCCCTTGTTGACATGTATGCAAAGTGTGAAAAATTTGATGAAGCCAACAGAATATTTGCAAATCTGTCATACAGAAGCTCTGTTCCATGGACAGCCTTAATCTCAATATGTGTTCAAAAGGGTCTTCATGAGGAGGCACTCAAAATGTTCAAGGATATGAATAGAGAAAATGTTCATGGTGACCAGGCAACTTTTGCTAGCACTTTAAAAGCTTCAACAAGTTTGGCTTCAGTCTCTCTTGGGAAGCAATTACATTCTTCTGTGATCAGACTGGGATTGATGTCTAGTGTTTTTTCTGGCAGTGTTCTTGTAGACATGTATGCAAAATGTGGGTCCATGAAAGATGCAATTGAAGTTTTCAAAGAGATGACAGATAGGAATATAGTATGTTGGAATGCACTGATTTCGGCATATGCTCAAAATGGCGATGCTGAGGCCACATTTAGCTCCTTCAGGGATATGATTGAATCAGGTCTCTGTCCTGATTCTGTTAGTTTTCTCAGTGTCCTAACTGCCTGCAGCCACCGTGGGCTTGTCGAAAAGGCACTATGTTATTTTAATTCTATGGCGCAAGTATATAATCTTGACGCAAGGAGAGAACACTATGCAACAATGATTGATGTGTTATGTAGAAGTGGAAGATTCAATGAGGCAGAGAAGCTGATTTCTGAAATGCCATTTGAGCCGGATGAGATAATGTGGTCATCAGTTTTAAACTCATGCAGAATTCATAAGAATCAAGACCTTGCCAAAAAGGCTGCTGACCAACTTTTCAAGATGGATGCTCTTAGAGATGCTGCTGCTTATGTCAACATGTCCAACATCTATGCGGAAGCAGGCAAGTGGGAAAATGCGGCAAAAGTCAAGAAGGCTATGAGGGAAAGGGGAGTTAAAAAGGTCACTGCCTATAGCTGGGTTGAAATTGACCACAGAGTTCATGTATTCACTGCAAATGACGGAACCCATCCACAAACTGAGCAGATTAGAAGAAAAATTGACTCATTGGTTGAGCTAATGGACAAGGAAGGATACAAGCCTGATACAAGTTGTACGCTTCAAAATGTGGATGAAGAAATGAAAATAGAATCACTCAAATATCACAGTGAGAGGTTGGCCATTGCCTTTGCATTGATTAGTACTCCTGAAGGATCGCCCATTATCATTATGAAAAACTTGCGAGCGTGCGTAGATTGTCATGCTGCAATTAAAGTTATCTCTAAAATTGTTGGAAGGGAGATCACTGTGCGAGACTCAAGTAGGTTCCATCACTTTAGAGGTGGATCATGTTCATGTGAGGATTACTGGTGAGATATGGATGGATGATTCTAAGATCATTTCATTTGGTTTGTGCTTTCCCTCTGTAATCAGAGGTCATAAAATTTGGGGACTTCTTCAATTTATTCCTTGGGGTGATGATGATAATTAGGATTTACCTTAAAGGATGGGCTTAGCCCAATTGCAGTTCTTGGATCCAAACCTTGTGGTTGTTGAACTATTGCAATTATTATCACTCTAAATTGGGCATTTTAATTCTGCTATGAACAGCATGGAGAACCAAGTTCTGCTTTTCCCTGAAGAACACTCTACTTTTTTTCAAGAGCTCACTGGTTTTCTCCCTAAACCACGAATTATTCTTTCAACAATAAGAAGGATTTGCTGTCTGGAGATGGAGGGGTTTTGGTTTCTCTTCTTGGGAATGCAAACATGTACCAAGTCTACATCATTCTCATCTTCAAGAGGGAGCTGGTGGGAAGAATGCTTAAAAAGAGACTGGAGCTCGTAAAGAGTTCATAATGGTATATTTCTACCGCTTTGTGTTCATCAAAGACATCATAAGAGGTTGTCAGTAGACACCTATGCTTTGTGCAGGTAATTCTCTGATTGTTTATGTTAATTTTAATCAACAAACCAGAAAGCAAGTGAATGTTTGTGATTAATGAAAGAACAGAATATTAAAGGAATGACTAACAGAGAAAAAATCTGAAAAGAGAGAGCATAAGACTAATACAGAACAAGGATTACTTTTCATTGTAATCTAAGTTGCAATTTAGAAGAAAAACTTAACTACTAACTTCATGGTCCTGAATATCAGCACATGATCTACTTTAAAAAAAAACTAACAAAGATACTGGGAAAAGTAATACCTGCAGAATTCAAACTAAGTAACTGCAGTCAAAGTAACTTTAACTATTCACAGCTAAACTGCAGTCCTAAAACATAGCAACTAACACTCCTCCTTGCTTTAGGATCTGCAGACAACCAAGTTTCGATCTCAAAGACTCGAACTTGTCAACTGACAATGGTTTGGTAAAAGCATCAGCTAATTGATCATCTGATTTGCAATAAATGAGAGTCACCTCCCCATTCTTCTGGACTTTTCTCAAGAAAAACAACTTGATATTAAAGTGTTTCGTCTTTCCATGGAAAACAGGATTATGAGAAATAGCTATTGCAGCCTGATTGTCAACAAATATCTCAGTTTCTTCTTTCTGCTCAAGATGAAGATCTTCCAATATTTTCCTCAACCACAATGCTTGATTCACCGCAGCTGCTGCTGCCACAAATTCTGCTTCCGCTGTCGATTGAGCTATTGTATCCTGCTTTTTGGAACTCCATGAAAAGACACCTGAACCAATAGTGAAACAGTATCCAGAAGTGCTCTTCATGTCGTCAACTGAACCACCCCAATCACTGTCGGAAAAACCAGTTAGTTTGAGTTGTTCACAACTTTTAAACTTGATTCCAAAATCAGTCGTTCCTTTGACATATCTGATCACCCTTTTTGCTGCCTTTAAATGCACTTCACTTGCACAATATATGAAGCGAGATAGAATACTTACAGCATTGAGGATGTCAGGCCTTGTTGCTGTTAGATACATCAGACACCCAACCAAACTTCTGAAATATGACTCATCCACTTTCTGTGTTCCATCTTCTTTGCTCAATTTTTCTTTTTGATTCATCGGAGTGCTCATCTCTTTGCAGTCTTCCATGCAAAACTTTTTTAGTATCTCTTTTGCATATTTTTTCTGACAAATGAACACTTCACCCCGATCTTGTTTAATCTCCATGCCGAGGAAGTAAGACATAAGCCCAAGATCTGTCATTTCAAACACTTTCATCATTTCTTGTTTGATATCTTCAATTTGATATGCACTACTTCCTGTAACCAGAAGATCGTCAACATAAAGTGAAATAATTAGAGTATCATTTCCACAATATTTGACATACAAAGTGGACTCAGATAAGCTTTTTTCAAAGCCTAAACTGAGTAAATGGTCATCAATTCTACTGTACCAAGCTCTTGGAGCTTGTTTCAATCCATAGAGTCCTTTTTAAGAAGATAGACTTTATCTTCTTCTCCTTCTTTCACATAGCCTTCTGGTTGTTCTACATAGATCTCCTCCTGCAGAAAACCATTCAGGAATGCTGATTTGACATCTAACTGGTACATTTTCCATTTCTTTTGTGCTGCAACAGCGAGTAAAAGCCTAATAGTGTCAAGTCTCGCTACTGGTGCAAAGGTATCTGAGTAGTCCACATCGAATATTTGAGCATATCCTTTGACCACGAGCCTAGCTTTATGCTTGTTGATTGAGCCATCAGCATTAAGCTTAGTTCTGTACACCCATTTGACTCCAATCACCTTTCTGTTTTGAGGTCGATCAACTAACTCCCATGTTTTGTTCTTTTCAATCATGAGCAACTCCTCTTTCATTGCAACACTCCAATCTTCATTCTTCTTGGCTTCTTCATAATGAGCAGGTTCACAAATTGCAATGTTACTTCTCTGATAAACATCAGAAAGTAATCGTGTGCCTCGAACAGGAATGTGATCCACCAAATCATTTTGCTCATCTCTTGTGATACTTTGATATAATGTATCTGAAGCAGGCAACTTGAACTTTGAAGTCGGATCCTTTTTATCTGCATCGTCCCAGTTCCACCCTTCATCTTCCATAAAGTGCACATCTCTACTTACAACAATCTTTCCCGTTTGTGGCTGAAACACTTTATAAGCTTTTGCAACAGAACTATAGCCAATGAAGATGCCTGGAAGTGCTCTTTTATCTAATTTATCCCTCTTGATCTGTGGAACGTGAGTGAAGCACAGACATCCAAATATTCTAAGAAAATTCAGAGATGGTTTATAATCATACCATGCTTCGAAAGGTGTTTGATTCTTCAATGCTCTTGTGGGAAGCCTGTTTTGTAAAAAAAACAGCCGTATGAGCTGCTTGGGTAGATTCTTCTCATGTAACATGCATCTTGTCATCTCTAGGATATATCTGTTTCTTATTTCACTAACTCCATTTTGTTGCGGAGTATAAGGAGCAGTAAGCTGGTGTTCAATGCCAGATTCCTCACAAAACACATTAAATTCTTCTGAGGTGTATTCTTTTCCATTATCTGACCTTAGAACTTGAATTTTGCTGCCACTTTGGTTTTCCACCATTTTCTGGAACTTCCAAAACACTCTAGCTACTTCTGATTTGAATTTCAAGAAATAAATCCAGCACATTCTTGTAAAATCATCAATGAAATTCTTTGAGGACCAGATACATCTGTATGGATCAATTGCAGCTTGTGAGTGGCTCTCCAGGTTGACTTAGGAAAGGATTTCCTATTTTGCTTTCCAAACTGACATGCTCTGCAGTTTGGAATGGGATCATCGAACTCTGGAAGATCATTTGCCATCCTTTTAGATTTCATTCGCAACAGCCCCTCATGATGATAGTGCCCGAGCCTCTTATGCCAAACTTCTGTGACACTTTCTTTGACTTGAAAAACAGTTTGCTCCTCCTCCAACGGATTTAGTGAGAAACTCTTGCCCACCATTTTGACCTTGAATATCTCATGACCTGATGGATCTTCTATCACACATGCTTTGTTTACGAAGTGAAATCCGTATCCTTTCTCCATTAATTGACCAACACTTGGCTGATTTTGATCAATATCTGGGATATAGAGAACATCTGTGATAAACTTAGTTCCTGAACAACTTGCAATGGCTATGGTGCCCTTGCCTTTAGCAGGAATATACTCACCATTTCCAATTCTAACTTTCTTCGTCTCAGTGCTCCTTAACTCTTTGAACAACGTCTTATCGTACGTCTTGTGGTTAGTGCAACCACTATCGATTAACCAACTTTCACTTGAATCGCGACTTGTGAAACAAGTTGCAACAAAGAGTTGATCGTCTTCTTCTTGTTCAACAACTTGAGCTTCTACTTCATGTTGCTGAATTTTGCTTTTGCAAATTACAGCTTCATGACCCTGCTGATTGCGCTTGCTGCACTTTGCATCAGGTCTCCTCCAACATTTGAAAGGAGGGTGACCTTTTTTACCACAATGTTGACAAGGCGGAAAGTTTTTCTTCTTGCTTCTAGTCTTGATTTTGTTGTTGTTTCCAACATTCTCATTGTTTGCTCCTTGGATCTTTTTGTTCTGCTTCTTCTGGTTTCTTCTACTGTCTTGATGCTTCACTAGTAAGGCTCCATCAACAGCTCCTTCTTGTCTCATAACACGCCGTTGCTCTTGTGCTTGAAAAGCACTCAAGAGCTCTGCTAGTGTGATTTTGGACAAGTCCTTAGTATTTTCTAAGGTTGTAATGGTAGCCTCAAATCTTTCAGGCACCGTTACAAGGATTTTCTCAACGATCCTTGAATCGTTTAAAGTGGAACCCAACAATCTGACACGATTTGCTATGTTAAGAAGTCTGTCAGAATACTCCTTTATGGTTTCACTGTCTTTCATCCTTTACAATTCAAATTCACGCACCAAATTCAGCACTTGCATTCCTCGAACTTTTTCATCTTCTTCATATTCAGTCTTGAGATAATCCCATACCTCTTTTGCTGACTTCAGAGACATGATACGAGTGTTGATGGTGGATGAAACTGCAGCAAACAAGCATGCCTTTGCCTTTGACTTTCTGGTTTTCCTCTCCTTGTAATTTTTTATCTGAGCCATCGTGGGATTGTTTGGCAAGCGAGCAATCTCGTAATCATCTTCAATAGCCTCCCAAAGATCCAACGCTTCCAAATAGGTCTGCATTCTAACTGCCCAGATCTGATAACTTTCTCCATCAAAGGTTGGTGGTGCGATTGAAGAAAAACTTGTTTCTCCGTCCATGGCGTCCACATAATCTGCTTGCACTCACACAGGCCCCTCAAGAAAAACAGCTATGATACCAATTGTTGTTAATTTTAATCAACAAACCAGAAAACAAGTGAATGTTTGTGATTAATGAAAGAGCAGAATATTAAAGGAATGAAGAACAGAGAAGAAATCTGAAAAGAGAGAGCATAAGACTAATACAGAACAAGGATTACTTTTCATTGTAATTTAAGTTACAATTTATAAGAAAAACTTAACTACTAACTTCATAATCCTGAATATCAGCACATGATCTACTTTAAAAAAAAACTAACAAAGATACTGGGAAAAGTAATAACTGCAGAATTCAAACTAAGTAACTGCAACTATTCACAGCTAAACTGCAGTCCTAAAACATAGCAACTAACAGTTTACTCCCTCATTTCTATCATTTGGCAAAAGTTGACAAGAATAATATGCATCTATTCCAGTTTTTATGAAGTAGACAACAAGTTTGTTGTCTAAGGGGCATACATACATCTAAAGAGATGCATATGGAAATGAGATTGGTATCAAGTTGATTGTCATTAGATCCTACTTGTGTACATTTTTGGCCATTAATGTTTTTCTCTCTTGTTTCTCACAATGTTTCCTCCCCTGAAAGGATAAAAGGATCCCACTATGTCAAACATCTGTATTTCGCAGTGTTTCATCCATGAGATTCTCTATCTCGTAATTATAACAGTTTCATTCTGTTTAGGTCTTTGCCAGATGCATCCTTTCAATATTGTATCATCTTAGGGCTTGAACAGTGTCTACTAGCATCCTTTCCAGGTGGTGGAGGTGCCTATGGGTGTCTACTACTCATCTCAACTTCGGCTGGTTCATATAAATTGCTCTGGCAGCTTAACTCATTCCCTTTTCCTACGGCCAATGAGTGGCCAGGGATCAAATTCTAGTCTGTGTAACACCAAAGTATATTGATTGGGTGAAACATATGAAAAGATTGCACAAGTGATCAGGAATTTCAGATTTTTGTTTTGACTTAGACTCACTTATCACGATGATATACCGACAGTTGGACTGAATTTGCTATAGCATAGAGAGTTCAAAGCTGATTTCATCTTCTAACGCTGTAATTAGTCTATAGGTAGGACACCCTTTAATCAGTATACAGATATTTGACCTGTTATGAGGCTGCCCATTTGACTTTGGCTATTCTTGAAGATTTTCACCTAGTTACCTTCTTTCAATTGATTGGACTATGCATTGCAATTCAACCAATTTGAAATTCCTCAGTTCTGCCTGCAACACTAAAACATGAACAAGTTTTGGAGTGCTTATATCCTAAAACCTTCTTTAAAGTATACGTGTTTTATGGAGTAGGCCCTTAAACTTGGAGATTTTCGGATTTTCTTGGAAATTTTCAATTGTTTGAGGAGACGATCAATGGTGATACGGAAACACAAATCTTTCTACCCTGGTATATCCGGTAGATAGGACCTCAAATGCAATTGTGGCTTCAGCTGTTCCCGTGCTTGTCGAGATCTTTCTTACTGGACGCATAGTTCAGTGCAGATTGTGTTCGCTTCTATAGCTTAGTTGCTGCCAGTCTCAGCTAGAGATTCTCATTGTGGAACCCAAATGCTCTAAGATTGATGTTTATGTAATATCGTATTTTAGTTACATTCTTATGGATGTATGTGATTTGTTTCCTATACATACCCTTCTTTTTATAGAGTTAGTTGCATTTGACCTTGCTCATGCATAGTCTCAATTTTTCGGTGTAGCATATTAGTTCACTTTTTTATCTATGCCTTCTGGGGAAGTACCTGGATAAAGGCGTCTTCTTGGAAAATTTTGTATTGCAGATGGGATAATCTATTCATGTTTATTCCCTGCTTCATTCAATCATCAAATCATAGTGCGTTTCTAATGCTTTAGTGGGTGGGTTGTTGCCTTGCCATACATAACTTTCGGCAGTATATACTGTTTTTTGTTTCACACTAACAGTCTACCACCTAATAACAAACTTCCCACTTGTTCCCTCCCTCTTATAAATCTAATAATGTCCTCTTATAAATACAGTCATCATTATATGCCACTTGAAGTTTATTTGAACAAAAGAATCTATTATCGGAACTGGTAGTTAGTGGAGTGCAGCAAAGAATCAGTTTCATCTGGTAAAAAAGAATATAGTAAACAAAACGTGAGAAGAAAAGGCTGCAGGCTGACGACAGTGCCATGGCTACCACTAAAACATTAAACATTCTCTTGCTCGCTGTAATCCATGATACTAATTTAAACAATCTATCCAGAACTATGTTAATACAGCTTATATATAAAACTAAAGTGCCTCCAAGTTCTTGGTTGGCGCTTTTCCTAATAGACCAATGGACTTGAACCTTCTACTTCTTGACCCTAAAATTAAATAGCAATGCCATCCTCTATGATTGTCTTTTTGATCCTAGCTATGCTACTAAACACAGGAGTTGGTGTCAACTTCGCCGAAGTTTTCGAGTCGAGTTGGGCACCTGACCATATTACTGTGGTAGGAGACCAAGTTATGCTCACCCTTGACAATGCTTCTGGTGGTTACCAATATGTCTCACTTCATTTCTACTTACTCTCTCTTCCTAGTCTTTTATTATATTTTCTGTGTTTTCAAGGTAATATAATTATATAACCATTTGATATATTATGTTGATATTTACAAAGGCTGCGGGTTTCAGTCGAAGAACAAATATTTGTTCGGGAAAGCCAGCGTGCAGATCAAACTAGTTGGAGGAGATTCAGCTGGAACAGTCATTGCTTTTTATGTACGTAACCAAACCCAAACAAAATATTCATCAAGAGTACTCTTACATTGTTTCTTCAAACTATAACCAACATTATTGGAATTAATATGTGGTTGCAGATGTCTTCGGAGGGAGCTAATCACGACGAATTGGACTTTGAGTTTCTTGGGAATGTTTCAGGAGAACCATACCTAGTACAAACAAATGTGTACGCGAATGGCACCGGAGACAGAGAGCAGAGGCATAGTCTCTGGTTCGATCCAACAACGGACTTTCACACTTACTCTTTCTTCTGGAATCATCATACCATTATGTAAGTAGTTCTTACTTCAACCATCTCTAAATGTGTTTGATCTTTCCTTTAAATAATTTTAGAGGGTTGCAACTTTGACAATCAAGTAAATTTCTATAACGAGTTGGTAACCTGCATTGTCGGTGTATATAAGTTAAACCTCAACTAATAAAGAAGAATTTTGAATTTTTGTAGCTTTTCAGTTGATGACATTCCTATTAGAGTGTTCCAAAACAAGGAGAACAAAGGCGTGGCATACCCGAAAAATCAAGGCATGGGAATTTATGGATCATTGTGGAATGCAGATGATTGGGCTACACAAGGAGGGAGAGTGAAGACCAACTGGAGCCACTCTCCATTTGTTGCAACATTTCGAGCGTTCGAGATCGACGCTTGTGATTTGTCTGGTGAGGACACAGTTGCTGCCGGTGCAAAATGCGGCAAGTTAGCAGAATGCTGGTGGGATAAGCCAGCTGTGAAGCAGCTGAACAAGAGCAAAAAGCGCCAATTCAAAATGGTTCAATCTAAGCACTTGGTCTATGATTATTGTAAGGATACTGCAAGATTCACTCAAATGCCTAAAGAATGCTTGGACTAGACCAACAATTCAGACAGTTCGGCAAGCAACATGTTAATCAACGTCTAAATATGTTTATGTCTCGCACAATTTTAGTTTTCCAAATTTGTTGGTCCAATTTGCTGATCTTATTTTCTTTTTTGGCTTGTTATGCTATCTAACAATTCAGAAAGTTCGATGGTCAATAAGTAATTATTCAAAAGTGTTGTGTGTTTGAATCCAATCCTAACCACTAGTATCCACATTGGTTTTTTTTTAATAATTAACTATGTGAAAAATGGATAATAACAAATCTATTATAAGAAAAATCAAATTATGGTGGATGTCTACTCTTCCTCCATGATCTTCTCAAATGCTTAATGACATATTCAATGACATATTTTTCTTCACTTTTCATGCCTATATAAAGGTCTTGTAATAGATAAGAAAATACACACAATTGAAGAAGAAAATCTCTTCCTTCTCTCTATCTCCATTTCTTGTTCATGTTTTACTAAATTACTTTTATTTCATAACAACATGTCTTGTTCATATTTTACTAAGTTGCTTTTATTTTATAAAACGTTATCGGCACGAATTGCTATTTTATCTATGCTTCCTACAAGAGATAACAGAATTGTAGACTTAGCTTCGTTGAGGTCTTGACTTTTGTTAGTGTGTTATATAGAGTTCATCTTTCAATAGTTTCCATGTTTTGGGACTTTTCTTATATAACACTTATATGGCCATCAAACAGTAAGAATTGCCCTCTACGATCATTCTAAGCGTACAAATAAGGTATGCACATTTCTAATAAATAAGTCAGATGAGGTATGTACACCTAGTATAGATTATAATTAGTATACTCCTTCTGTCATGTTCTCACCTTTAACTCCAGTTTTAGTTACTTGGTGATACATGATGGTGGAAAGATCAACATACCAAGTAATTTTTCTAGAATTAATACTTTCTAATTGGACAATATCAGTTGATTGACTAGCTATATTTACTACAAAATCATGCTTGTATTTTAAAACTAATTCATGAAAGTGTGTTAGGTTGTCGCTTACATGATGATATCCTCTAAATGTATTTTCTATAATTTTATATAGTTTAGATAAATTGATCCTCTCTAAAAGGTTTTGTTAAGTTAGGCACCTATTTAACATAAAAACTATAGCTTTTATTGTTTGGGTGGTTTCTCTGCGGAAAGTATTGGATTACTTTATTTCACCAAACTTATTAAACATAACGATCAAAATGCAACACATGTAATTTGGTTTCTATTTGAGCTAATGTCATCTCGCGGAATTATTCATATGATAATTAAATACATGTGCTTCACACTTGTAATATGAGGTTGTATTTATTCTTTCACCAACTAATTTTATAGGTTTCTTTTAGTATGCGAAATATTTGAGCATATCACATGTACGCAACCCATTCATACTTTCATATCTTTGCATTAACTTTATGTGCAGTGTTTAGTAAAAATATTTTTTTCAATTGTATCTAGTGAAATAAAGAATTGGAAAGGCATGTCTTTATTTGCTACATCTCTTATATGACAAAGATAATATTCCAACGTATATATATGTTCTGACATTTTACATACTATGATAGATAATTATTAAGGTAATTTAGTAATAATATTTTTACCATAACATGATGTATTTCATTGAAAGCAAAATTGGCATATATCCTAACTAGCATTTTTGTTGCAGAGGAACTGTTTCAAGATTGAAATAGTTATATATGTCTTCTTGAAAGTTAATTTACTTATACCTATAATTATGAAGTAATANGTGCCTATAATTATGAAGTAATAATATTTTAAAGGTTCGAATGCGAGTCCAAGTGAATTTTGGCCTATTATGCCAAAGATTGAGGGTAAGATGATGGGTTCAAGTCCCAACGCACTATGTTGATGAAAAGACGTTGGATTCAAGTTCCAACGCATTATGGCCTAGCATGCCTTTATATGGGTAAGGCATTGGGTTTGAGTCCTAATGCACCATAATAATAATAATAATAACTAAAGAAAAAATAATGTAATTTTCATGAAAAAGCATGAAGCTTGTCCCACTTGATTTGCTCTATTTTTGAAGTGAATGTGATAGCAGTGCATGATAAGTCTAAATAAAGACAAGTGATTGACCAATAAATGTGGGCGTGCGAAAGGCCAAAATAATAATAGTTATCACTATGGTAATTAT